CTCCCATCCTTTGTGTAAAAATTGAGCACATACCTAGACTGATTATTTTCTTTCCTGTGCTAGAACATTTAAATAGTCCTTTTCCCCAATTTTTCCTAGACTGCCTTTTCTCCACATTATCGTTTTTCCACATGTGGGGTGGGGGGTGGGGGGTGGTTATCCCCTCTCAGAAGAACTTTGTTACCAGAGCTGACTGCCCCCACCTACCCTGTGCCACTCAAGCCCCTATACAGCCCCATATCTCCACATCCAGCTGTCTGATGCAGAGGTCGGAAAAGTTTTCTTGAAAGGTTTAGACAGTATACGCTTTGGGATTTGTGGTCCACAGGTCCTCTGTTGCAACTACCCAACACCGTCCTTGTAAATGCCAAAGCAGTCACTGACAACATGAAAATGAATGTGTTTGGCTGTACTCTAAAAGCAGAAGACACGGGCTTCCCTGGTGGTCTAGAGGTTAAGTTCTAGAGCCTCAGAGCCACAATTCCTGAGCCCACGCACCACAGCTAGCGAAGCTTGCGTGCCTTACAGCCTGTGCTGTGCAGCAAGAGAAGCCTGCAGTGAGAAGCCCTCGCACCACAGCTCGAGTGTAGCCCCTGCTCGTCACAATCAGGGAAAGCCCAGGCACAGGGATAAGACCCTGCACAACCTGAATAAATGTGTTAATTAAATATACATATTTTTAAAAGCCCCAGACTGGACAGATTCTTCCCATCCCAACCCCGCCTCAGACTGTAGCTTGCTGACCCCTGATCTACTATGCTTGTTGAAGTAATACCAGTCAGATTACAGTCCCTGGGAATTTGGAGTTGGAACCCTGAGGCTGAGTTAAGTAATAACTGGGTTGTTAAGCAGTAAAGTTGGGCAAACTGGGAAGGGGCCAGTGTTGGAGAACTGGGATCACTATTTGAGACAGTCATAGGACACGTGCAAGCAGAAAACAAGCAGAGAAGCCAGTTTGTGGAGGGACGTAAAGTGAAGAAACACCAAGATGAGAGAGAGCAGTGGGGAAGGAGAGTTCTTGCAAAGTTGGCTGTGCTTCCCACAGTTGTGTCTCATATAATCCCTGCCTATTTTTATACTCGTCCCTCCTTTCCTTTAGCCAGCTGGCATGAATTTCTGCTTCTTGCAACTAGATAACCCCTATCTCAATCAATCTTTTATACTCTAGACATTCCAAATGACTGGCAGTTCTCTGACTTGCAGAGTCATCTCTCACACAGCCAGGCTTCACCGCTGCCTACCCCACACTGTCACTTCTACTCCATATTCTTTTCTTTTGTCATTTTGCTCAGGCGTCATCTGTGGCTGAGTTAGGACTTGGTTCCCACTACTCCTTATGTGCAGCTCTATCACTGCACTTATAGTACCAAATTATATTTCTGATTTGCTTGTCTCTAATTTTAACTATAGCTTTCATCTCCGTGCTAAGTATAATACCTGGCATATAGTAGGAACTTTATATGTATATGACAAGCAGGAACTTTATAAGTCAACTTTATATGTTGACTTAATGAATGAGGTAAAGGTATACACTGGTAAACAGATATCTAAAATATAGATATGTTCCAACCAGCATGAAGGCTTAGGATCTTTGGATGTCCATTCCAGCTTCAGGAACCCAAACAGAAATAATGTAAGTGATGAATTTGTTTATATGCAAAGGATTATAGAAATGGCCTCAATATGCTCTTGCACTTAGTTTTGCTAAAAGTGTTGTTCAAATCTATACTCTTACTGAAATTTTTGTCTGCTTATTTTATCAGTAACTGAATATGTTACCCTCTTCCACCAAAACTGTAAATTTGTATTCCTCCATGTTATTTTCGCTTTATGTGCCTTGAGGTTACATTACTAGAACAACACAAACTTAGTATTTAAACAAATCTTCCTGGCCAATTAAATCTTTATCATTATGAAGACTCTCCCATTATCTCTAGTACTACTTTTTGTTTGAGTCTACTTGATCTAGTCTAGCTTTCTTTTGGTAGTATTTCATAGTTCAGTTTTTTTCCATCCCTTTTCTTTTGATCTTTTGCATTTTTAGAGTCTAGATATATCCCTTCTAAACAGCATGTAGTTGGATTTTGAATTTTTGTTGAGCCTGACAGCCTGTGCTAGCTGGTTACAAGGACCAGTGGCCCCAGACTCATCACACCTCCTAATATTTATGTCCATAACTATCTCTCCCCCCTTGGCTCTGGTATAGACCTGTAATTTACTTTATCCAGTAGAATGTGGCAGAAGTGCCAGTGTGCTAGTTCCAAGCCTAATCCTTCAGGAAGCTCTGAGTTTGCATATAAGAAATCTGCCTCTCTCCCAGGAGAGACTATTTGGAGACGCACATGGAAAGGAAGTCATGAAACTATTTGTATAAAAATCAAAGAATCCAAACAACAGTGAGAACCGGTGTCCTATACATACGATCTAAGTTAAGCTGGTCCATCCTAACTGAGGTACCAGACATGAGAGTGAAGCTATCTGGGCTGTTTTAGCCCCAGCAGAAATCACCCACAGATGAGATGAGCCATTCCCTTTGTGTCCTATCCATGTTCCCGACCCATAGAATCATGAAATAGAATAAAATGGTGGTAGTTTACAGTTACTAAATTTGGGGGTAGTTTGTCACACAGCAATAGGTAACCAAAAAAAAAAAAAACTTTTTCATTAAATTAAGAGCTCTTTTCACTTAATGTAATCAGTGAGATATTTGAGTTTAAATCCACCATCTTATTAAGTACTTTCTATTTGTCTTACCTATTACATATTACCATGTTTCTCCTTTCTCACACTTAGATTGATTACCTTTTATTACTCCATGCTCTCTCTCCTTTTAGGTTGGAAATTGTATGATGTGATGATTAATTTTATGTGTCATTTTGGCTGTACTATAGTGTCCAAATAGTTGGTCAAACATTATTCTAGATGCTTCTGTGAAGGTGTTTCTTGGATAAGATCAACAATTAAATTAATGCACTTTGAGTAAAGCCGATTACCCTCCATAACAAGGGTGAGCTTCATCCATTCAGCCGAAGGCCTTAATAAAACAAAGACTGATCTCTGAGCAAGAAGGAATTCTGCCAGCATACTGCTTTTGGACTCAAACTGCAACTCTTCCTTGGCTTCCAGCCTGCCAGAATATCCAGCAGATTTTGGACTTCCAAACCCCTCCATAATCACTTGAGCCAGTTCCTTAAAATAAATCTCTCTCTTTTTCTCTCTCTCCACTCCCACCACCCACATTCTGTTAGTTCTTTTTCTCTGGAGAAACTTGACTAATACACATAGTATATATTATTCTCTTTATTTTCTTAGTGATTATTCTAGTGATTACAAAATGTATTCTTAGTCTATTATTAATTGTACCTTTTTCCATTCCCCTAGACAATGCACAGATTTTAGAACACTTGATTCCATTTCCCCTCTCCTGATATATATACCATTATGTCGTTTAGCCATGTTCTACTCTTTTGTGAGCCCATGGATTACAGCCTGCCAGGCTTCTCTACTGGATTTCCCAGGCAAGAATACTGGAATGGGTTGCCATTTCCCTTTCCATGGGATCTTCCTGATCCAGGAATTGAACCCACATCTCCTGCATTGGCAGGTGAATTCTTTGCCATGAACCACCTGGGAAGTTCATTTACCACTTCTGTGTATTTTTTAATACAGAAGACATTACTACTATCGATGTAAATAGTCAGTATCAATATTCAGATAGATTTACTCACATATTTACTATTTTGGTTGATTTTTGTTTCCTCATGTATGTCTTGTTTAACAACTGGGATCACTTCCTTCTGCCTGAAGAATGCCATTGTCAATCTGCTGGTGACAAATATGCTATTTTGAAAAGTTCTTAATTTCACCTTTGTTCTTAAAATATTTGCTTTTAATCCTTGGAGGTTATAATTCTATCATTTTCTGGCTTAAGATAGTTCTATTAAAGAGTTAGTCATAAGTCTAATTTGTTTCTTTAAAGGTTAATTCTTATTTTCTCTAGCTGTAGTTAAGATTTTTCTTTGTGTTTGAATTTTAGTGGTGTTTTTCATGATGTGTTTATGTGTGAATTAAAAACATTTTTTATTCTGCTAAGGATTCATTCATTGAAATATTATTTCTGCTCAATATTGTCTTTTCTTTCCTTCTAGAATTCCATTTCCATGCATATTAAATTTCATTATGATATCTTCTATGTTCTTCCTTTGTATTCTATATTTTCCTTTCTTATTTTTCCTTGTGCTTCATAATGAATATTTTTTTCTGACTTATCTTCTAGTTCACTAATTTTATATCTCTGCTAATATGCTAATGGGTTAGTAAATTTTGGGGTTCTAAAATTTTCATCTGCTTTTTTTTTTTTAATGCCACACTACCAAGCAAAGGAAAAAAGGAAAGATATACCCATTTGAATGCAGAGTTCCAAAGAATAGCAAGCAGAGATAAGAAAGCCTTCCTCAGTGATCAATGCAAAGAGACAGAGGAAAACAATAGAATGGGAAAGACTAGAAATCTTTTCAAGAAAATTAGAGATACCAGGGGAACATTTCACACAAAGATGGGCACAATAAAGGACAGAAATGGTATGGACCTAACAGAAGCAGAAGATAATAAGAAGAGGTGGCAAGAATACACAGAAGAACTATGCAAAAAAAGATCTTCATGACCCAGATAAACACCATGGTATGATCACTCACCTAGAGCCATACATCCTGGAATGCGAAGTCAAGTGGGCCTTAAGAAGCTTCACTAAGAACAAAACTAGTGGAGGTGATGGAATTTCAGTTGAGCTATTTCAAATTCTAAAAGATGATGCTGTGAAAGTGCTGCACTCAATATGCCAGCAAATTTGGAACACTCAGCAGTGGCCACAGGACTGGAAAAAGTCAGTTTTTATTCCAACCTCAAAGAAAGGCAATGCCAAAGAAGGCTCAAACTACCACACAAATTGCACTCATCTCACCCGCTAGCAAAGTCATGCTCAAAATTCTCCAAGCCAGGCTTCAACAGTACATGAACCATGAACTGCCAGTGTTCAAGCTGGATTTAGAAAAGGCAGAGGAACCAGAGATCACATTGCTAACATCTGCTGGATCATCAAAAAAGCGAGAGAGTTCCAGGAAAACATCTACTTCTGCTTTATTGACTATGCCAAAGCCTTTGACTGTGTGGATCACAACAAACTGTGGAAAATTCTGAAAGAGATGAGCATACCAGACCACCTGACCTGCCTCCTGAGAAATCTGTATGCAGGTCAAGAAGCAACAGTTAGAACTGGACATGGAACAACAGACTGGTTCCAAACAGGAAAAGGAGTACATCAAAGTTGCATATTGTCACCTTGATTATTTAACTTATATGCAGAGTACATCATGAGAAATGTTGGGCTGGATGAAGCAAAAACTGGAATCAAGATTTCTGGGAGAAATATCAATAACCTCAGATATGCAGAGGATACCACCCTTCTGGCAGAAAGTGAAGAAGAACTAAAGAGCCTTTGGATGAAAGTGAAAGAAGAGAGTGAAAAAGTTGGCTTAAAGCTTAACACTCAGAAAACTAAGATCATGGCATCTGTCCCATGACTTCATGGCAAATAGGGAAACAATGGAAACAAGGACAGACATTATTTTTTTGGGCTCCAAAATCACTGCAGATGGTGACTGCAGCCATGAAATTAAAAGACGCTTGCTCCTTGGAAGAAAAGTTATGACCAACCTAGACAACATGTTAAAAAAGCAGAGACATCACTTTGCTGACAAAGGTCCATCTAGTCAAAGTTATGGTTTTTCCAGTAGTCATGTATGGATGTGAGAGTTGGACTACAAAGAAAGCTGAGCACTGAAGAATTGATGCTTTTGAACTGTGGTGTTGGAAAAGACTCCTGAGAGTCCCTTGGACTGCAAGTAGATCCAACCAGTCCTTCCTAAATGAAATCAGTCCTGAATATTCGTTGGAAGGATTGATGCTGAAGCTGAAACTCCAATACTTTGGCCACCTGATGCGAAGAACTGACTCACTGGAAAAGACCCTGATTCTGGGAAAAATTGAAGATGGGAGGGAGGGGGACGACAGAGGATAAGATGGTTGGATGGCATCACCAACTCAATGGACATAATTTTGAGGAAGCTCCAGGAGTTGCTGATGGACAGGGAAGCCTGGCATGCTGCAGTCCATGGGGTCACAAAGAGTTGGACATGACTGAGTGACTGGACTGACCTGAACCAGGCTTGTGGGATTTCAGTTCCCCAACCAGGGATTGAACCTGGGTTTCCACAGTAAGAGCATGTAGTTCTGGCCACTGAACTGTCAGGGAATTTCCTGATTCTTTTTTCCAGTTTCTGGTTATCTGCCTAAATTTTAAATCTTGTGTTTTATTTATTTATATATAGCAAGCATTGTTATTTTTAAGTGTTTGATGATTTCACTGTCTCAACCCCTTTTGTGATTTGATTTATTTTTAATTGTGTACTAAAAACTGTATTTGCATAATTATTTGTTGAGATGACTTCAGGCCTAACATATTACTTTACTCCAAGTAGGATTTTAGTTTGCCTCCACCAAGTGCTTGGGGACATTAGTGCAAAGGAATTATCCTAATTCAACCTCAGGATTTAAATGCTTTGAAAATGAGATGTCACCCCTTTACTTCTAGGATGTAGCCATTTGGACTCCTAGTCCAACAGGAGCTTCAACAGAGCTCTCCTCCTTCCTCCTTAGTACACCCTGAATTCTAATCACTGTCTCTCATCCCTGCTCATCCTCTTAGCTACATTCTATGGAATGGATAAATGGATGTCCCTGGGTCTCCATCATTCTTCAGATTCATAGCCTGGTACTTCCTATCCTGTGAGCTCTCTGATGCCTTTGAATTATTTTTTTAAATACTTTGCTGAGTTTTTCTAGTGTCCTCAGTAAAAGGATTGGTCCAAATTACTGTCAATATCAGGGCTTATATAAGTGTAGATATAATTAAACATAGGTAGTTGTTTTTGTTTTTGAATGCACTGCATGGCATGTGGGATCTTATTTTCCCAACCAGTAATCAAACCCTTGCACTGGAAGATCTAAGTCTTTACCACTGGACCACCATGGAAATTCTGGTACTTGCTTTTATAAGTACATTGAAAAAGATCCTTAAAGGAAAAAAAAATAGACTTTCACTCACAATTGCAATTTCACTCACTTTGACTTTTGTGTCAAAGTGGCAGATCAGTATTTATCAATGTTGTATTCTAGTTCTGATATCATTTGAGGAAAGTTATTTCTTTTATTGACAAACACTACTAAACATCATCTCTGTTCTGAAAGCTATTCTAAGAAATTACATTGCAAGGATGAAGAAGACAAGATAATTGACCTCAAGGGGGCTTGAAGTCTAGAGCCCTTGTAGGTAAAATGGTTATTTTTGGACTCACCAACTCGTGATCAAAAAGTCTTTTGTTAAATATACATGATATAATAATGAAAGAAAGTGAAAGTGAAAGTGGCTCAATCATGTCCAACTCTTTGCAACCCCATGGACTATACAGACAATGGAATTCTCCAGGCCAGAATACTGGAGAGGGTAGACTTTTCCTTCTTTGGGGAATCTTCCCAACCAAGGTGTCAAACCCAGGTCTCCCGCATTGCAGCTGACCCACAAGGGAAGCCCAAGAATACTGGAGTGGGTAGCCTATCCCTTCTTCAGGGGATTTTCCCGACCCAGGACTCAGACCAGGGTGTCCTGCATTACAGGCAGATTCTTTACCAACTGAGCTATCAGGGAAGCATTTAAAATATAAATGTGTATGTTTGAGTTTCTATTGAGGCAGGAGATAGATGGGCCCCAGACTGAACAGTTTCTCCTCTGTGGACAGAAATTCCATAATAGCAGAATGATGGAGGAAGGGACCTCCCTAACTACACATATGCAGAAAGACTCCTTGGAGTCAAAATGGGAGAGGGTGTCACCTCATAGTAAGTAACATCAACTACTCATGGGCCTCTTCACTAGAATACATCTTGGCTTAGAGATGTATGTGTGCACACAGGGAGGATCTTGATATATACCAAATACAGACTCAGAACCAGGCAAAGCAAGAAAATTGGTCAAAGGAAACCTGGAAGATAGGCCCTATAGAAGTGAGTCAAACCACCAGAAGAGTGCGACTCTCTCTGAGCCCACCCATGTGTCTATCCAAAATCCTGTATTCTCTTTTCTCCTAATAAATACTTTTCTTGCTTCACCACTTTCCATCTCTATGTGGAAATTCATTTCTACACAGCTTGTCATTGTAAACTGGTCCCTGGTGGTCTAGTGGCTAGGATTCAGCATTTTCCCTGACACTGTCTGACCTCAAACTCTGGCTGGCAACTGAAATCCTGCTTCAAGCTGCTGCAGGCTGAGGTGACCTGAGATCACTGTCACTTTTTAACCTAAACATGAGGACATTTTAAACAATATACTTTTAAAATTTGTCTTCAGTAAAGTTTATTAATGACAATGTTCCTGTAAAATATTTTGGAGAAAGAAGAATACAAGCTTTGTGTGTGCTGTGTGCTTAGTTGCTCGGTTGTGTCCAACTCTTTGCAATCCCATGGACTGTAGCCCACCAGGCTCCTTTGTCCATGGAATTTTCCAGGCAAGAATACTGGAAAGGCTTGCCATTTTCTTCTCCAGGGGATCTTCCCGATAGTAGGATCAAGACTGTGTCTCCTGTTAGCACTGCACCACCCAGAAGATATTAAATGCCAGGATTCTCGTTTTCCTAAAGAGTTAGGCTCTGGTTTCTTAGCATTTTTACTCTTGTAAGCTCCTGGGGAAAAGCTACTCACTCTGAATCATGGTTATTTTTAATCAGAGATTTTCCTTGGTAGGTGTTCAAAGTCCTCTAAAATAGCCGCTAAGTATACAAGTGTCCCTGGACTCTGAACTAAGTGTGATAGATTTCCTAAGAGACATGAGCCTCACCCACAGAGATTATTTAAATGTGCCAGCCTCTCTGGGGTGAATCAATCAGTAGAGAGGACAAGCAGAGAAAACTTCATTATTTGACCACTGACAAGTTACATCATTTTTCTGGATTTGTTTTCCCATCTATGATAGATTGAGCTCCTAGATGAAATATCTCTAAAGTATATATAACTTCCAGTTCTCATTCTGTAATTCTTCTGGAGTTGAGGATTGTTTGGTCATCTGGGTTTAAAATAGATTAGAAGGAAAAAGAGAAACTAAAGTTCCATGTTTCAAATAAAACATTAGTACAATAATCTGTAGGGAGATGAAGACCTATGTCAGTGGCCACCACGACAATGACCAGCAGAGATAAAACAAGACTGAGGTCTGAGAAGATTGTCATTTCCCAGAAGCCATCTTCTCTCAAACTTCCTGCTTACCTCTCTTTCCTTTCTGCTACACTTTTCCTCTAAAACTTCCTTGAATTTGCCCACTTGAGGGAGCAACAGTGATTGCACTGAAGGGAGAAACCAAAGCAACTCTTACTTCAACTGAAGCATGTTGTACATTTGCCTTGTGGTCTTCTAACTCTGAATGCAGCTATGAGGCCCTCCAGGACACTGTAATGAGAAGCAAGTGGAACTAGTAGATGACTGAACAAATCATATAATCAGTGTTTTCATCTGTGGAATGAGGGGAGCATTTCCATTTTTGTTACTATATATGGTGATTCCTATAATTCTTCTGTATCTCTATCATCCCCACAGCTTGGCTTGTTTTGTTGTCAGCAGGCAGCTTGTTTCATATTCTGCCCACTTTATACTTAGAACCTGGCTCATATACTGTTCATTGTTCAGGAAGGAAATGAACTTCAGTTAGCACCTACTGTGCCTCAGTTACCGTCCACGTCTATTTCATATACCCTTTCTTTAAAAATCCATTCAAGCGGTACATATACACCATGGAACATTACTCAGCCATTAAAAAGAATTCATTTGAATCAGTTCTAATGAGATGGATGAAACTGGAGCCCATTATACAGAGTGAAGTAAGCCAGAAAGATAAAGACCATTACAGTATACTAACACACATATATGGAATTTAGAAAGATGGTAATGATAACCCTATATGCAAAACAGAAAAAGAGACACAGATGTACAGAACAGACTTTTGGACTCTGTGGGAGAAGGCGAGGGTGGGATATTTCAAGAGAACAGCATCTAAACATGTATATCATCTAGGGTGAAACAGATCACCAGCCCACGTTGGATGCATGAGACAAGTGCTTGGACCTGGTGCACTAGGAAGACCCAGAGGGATCGGGTGGAGAGGGAGGTGGGAGGGGGGATCGGGATGGGGAATACATGTAAATCCATGGCTAATTCATATCAATGTATGACAAAAACCTCTACAATATTGTAAAGTAATTAGCCTCCAACTAATAAAAATAAATGGGAAAAAAAAATCCATTCAACACATTTGTGAGGTAGGTATTGCTACTCTAGTTTTTGAAGATGTAGTATAGGAATTCATAATTTTAATTATAAGGATCAAAGTGGTAACGGTAAAATAGAGCCTTGTGTCAGTTACCCATTTTGACAGGTTATTTTTCTATGCCTCAGTTTCCTTAACTGTAAAGTGGGAATTAATAGGAGTTAGGAGAGGGTTGGCAGATTTCATACAAAAACAAAACAAACAAGGAAGTATTTCTCAATTGGAACATTCTTATGCTGAAATTCGGCTTTAACTAGACACAGATGAATTTTACCTGGCAATACTATTTTAGCATTACGGTTAAACAATGAAACCGTGTAAACAATTTAGCCCAGTCCATAGCACTTAGAGCGCGTTCTGGAGCTCCTTATTAAATTTTGGGTCTGATTCCCAAGCCCTTTTTTTTTAAAAAAAATCTCAGACATTTTGAGCTTAGTTTCCACATAAACATTCAGTCAAGCGAGGGTGACACTACTGTAAATTTCTATTAGTGCTTTACCGTTTCTAAAGCTCTTTCAATTAAAGCCTGGCCAATGGCGGAAAAACTCCTGAGGAAACACACAGAGCTCGGGTTACCAAGAGCAGCCGCTGCAGTCGCAGCACTAGCTTCTCTGACTTACCAGCCTGGCGGCCACTCTCGCCCCGCCCAGCTGCGTCCCGCCCCCTCCCCATCTCGGCCACTCAGCGGCCGCGCCGCGCCCCGCCTCACTCCTATAGGTCCTTCCCAGACAGGCGAGGCCTTTCCATTTTCCCGCCTTCCCCAGCCCCTCCACAGCCCGAAACCTGACTGGCTCACAACGTCACCTCCCTGCCTTCTGTGCCAGCCCCGCCCTTCCGGACACCGCTTCCCCCTTCCTCCGCCACCCGCCGCCTCAGCAGCCTGCCGGTTCCCAGGCCTGGGCCTCGGGTAGGAGGTGGGAGGGGAGTGGGAGGGACTGGCGGAGCCCCCTCCCGAGTCGTCGCTGGAGGCGGGGACTGGAGGGAGAGGCGGGGCTAATCTCCTTGGCGCCTCGTTGCCATGGCAGCGGGGGAGGGCGGAGGGAGGAGAGGAAGCAAACTGGAGGGGGATGTGGTACTGCTGCGGCCGCCACCGCAGCTGCTGCTGCCTGCTCGTGGCCGCGTCTTCCCGGAGGCGGCTACTGGAAGCGGCCGAGAGCAGCTGTGGTGCTCTGCCATATTGTGTCTTCCCCTACCCATCCCTCGCCCCTCCGCTGCGGCGGCCGAGCTGACGGTGAGTCCCGAGCGGAGCGGCGCCTTCCCCAGCCGGAGCCGCCCGGCTTCCGTGCTCCCCGCCCCGAGCCGCGCTGCGGCTCCCGGGCTCGGAGACAGCGCGTGCGGCAGGCGCCGGGCGTGGGGCGCGGAGGCGGCTGTCCCGTGACGCGCCCGGACATTTTTGTCCCGTGATGAATTGGCGCCGCCAGGGGAGTCTTCCCTTGCGCGTGGCTTGGGTGGTTTGTGGGCTCCCGGGGGGCGGCGAACTGAGGATAGTGCGGCCCGGTGAGGAGTTAGGAGTTTTTCTTGAGGGGTGTAATGACGTCCCGGGAGCGGGTGTCCACGGCGAAAACTGGGGCTAGTGTTGCTGGCGTTTCGGAAAGGCTTGGAAGTGGCACCGAGGACTCTTCGGGCTCGACTCGGGGTGAATCTACTGTTGAGGGAAGCGCCCCAAGCCCGTCGGGAGTCATTGCCGGAACCCCCTCCCCCGGCTTGAAGTGCAGCGAGACGTGCCGGGCGTGGAGTTCTCGTCCGGTCCCGGGCGGACTGACTGTGCCGGGCCAAGTAGAGCCCGGGGAGGCGCCGGGCGCGGCCGGCAGTGAACTCTGAGCAACCGGGCGGCCGAGCGTTGGGGTGGGCAGGGCTGGGTCCCGGATGTGGGGGTGATCGACCTCGGCACGCTCTGGCCCTTCCTCCAGCGGGCGCCCGAGGGTCTGCCGAGGGTGCTGTCTCGGGGTGGGAGTTAATGTTTGCTCTGCAATATGGACACTTCCTGTTCGCCGCTTCTCTAGGGCTCTCTATCTCTGCCCTTCAGTTCTTCTTAGTGGGAAGGCGAGAGGTCGTGAGGGCGTGTGCGAGGTCCCTCAGTTCTTCTGAGTTCGCCCCGCTGCAAAAGCCGAGAGTTTGGAACCCGGGAAGAAGGTGGGAGTCAGGGGAAAGCCGTCCATGTGTGTAGTGCTCCATTTTACTCAACTCCACCCTGTTGCCCCTTTGCAGAATGCCTCTGTTCCCATCGCCGCTCACGAGAGTTAGCGTGTCTTAATTCACTGGGGGCACCCTCTCAGGAATTTTCCGGGACCTGATTTCTGCTTTAAAGTCTCTTTAAAGCAGCCCCTGCACTTCGTTTTCTGTTTTTAGAAAAAAGCCTTAGCGTGCAAGGAAATGACACACAACTTTCTTTCACCCCAACTCAGGTTGTGGGAAGAGGTCGATTGTTATTTCCAGGTTAGTTGACGCTGTTAATCCTGTCTTCTGACTGTGACAGCCACGTGGCCGACTGGGTGTAATTGAGTGCCCTAGCACCGCTAGAGCAGAGGCGTCACTGGCAGCCGGGGGCTTTGTAGCCCTGCAGTTGCTTTGGACTCACATTTTGGTGTTTCCTGAGATGGGGAAGTGGACAAAGCTGAATTGTTCTCTCTCTGTTCCAACCAAGTCGACTTCTCCCTGTTTGCTTGCAGTCCGTGTAAGGTGCCTTCTGTTTTGATGATTCGTATTTAAAATCTAAGCAGTATTAGGTACCATTAAGGAGTGATGGGGAACAGAAGAGTACATTATGGAGTTTCTCAACTCTGGGGGGAAAATCCGTTTGAATTTCAGAGTGGTTAATAAGTTTCTAATGTAATCAGAAGTAATCTCATTCTGGAGGATTTCTTTTTGTTAGTTTCATTATAACCTGAAAAGATGTATTACTAGTGGAAATACTTGTTTAGAGATAAAATACTTTGTTTGATTTGTGCATGGGCACCTTTTCTTTTTTAAGGGAAAGTATTAATAGCTAGTATATATGTTAACATCACCGGATTTTAAAGAAATGAAATTGTTTTAAAATATATAAAAGTAAGAGACCAAGGGCTGAAGATCAAAAATAACAAAAAGCAAAATAAATATATTATTAAATTATTTTAAAGTAAGATAAGTTAAAAAAGGTTGAAGATAGATATTTGGACAGTTTGGAGTTTTCAGAATTTAGGTATCAATAGAAACAATTTAAGTACATACAATCTTTGATTTCATCATGTTAAATTTTGTAAATATTTTGATGAATTTGAATTATTTCTGTAACATGTTTTTATTTGCATCACTTTTATTTGAAGAGTGCTAAACCACAGGAAACATTGAGAGTTATGTGAAGTTACAGCAGCACCATTTATTAGAATTTTAATATGCCATAATAATGGTTTTCAGGGAAGCTAATAGCTAAAAAGATTGGAGAGGTTTCAATGCAGAAAAGACAATGCAATTGAGAAGTGAATATGTATGGTGACCACTGAAACCAATGCATAGTTGAGAAAGAAAACTAAATGAGATGAAAAAGTACTTACATAATGGAGGAAACACTGAAAACATATGCTGGGAGATAGCTACATTAATAGTTATGGGATGTGGCTATGAAATGAAACTTTACAAAGTGCCATCCAAACAAGGATTAATCTTGTTCTTGTGGCAGCTTGTATATGTGTGTCTTGCTTTTGGATTGTTGTCATTTTCACACCTGGTTTTTGCATACTTGCAAAAAGGTCCTCCAGAATAAAGGGCCCAATTCCTTGTTGATTTCTTAGGGAAGAAAAAGTGCTTTAAGATTTGATCCTTATTCTTGGGTTGAAGAAACATGATTAATACATGTGAAAAAAAAAAGTTTACAGTGTGAGATGATATAATTAGGAGTTAAATTGTATGATGCAGGCAGGTACTGTAAGAGTTGAAAAGGAAATTGGAAGGTTTGAGTAAGATAGAGGGATAGCTTCTTGAAGAAATTAAGGTTTTTGCTTTCAGAAGTCTTACCTTCATGTTAGTCCCACTAGATTAATCTTCCTAAAGATTATATCACTCTATTGACCAAAACCCCTTATATCAAGAGTAACATCAAATTTCTTCTCAAGAGTCTTTGAAATTCGGACCTAGTCTTCTCCTATCTTATCTTCCACAGGAAGTGTTCATTATTTACTACTTCAATGTGGTGTAACAATTTACTTCTTTTTCCCTTGGCTGATACATTTTTCTGTTGGAAATGCACCTACACACATCCTCTTAACCACTGAAAATCTACTCAAACTTGAGGCTTGGTTAAAATGTTAATTGTCTTGAGAGCCTTGGAATCATTTTAGACCTGCCTTCCACCTCTCCAACAGAAGGGTCTTATTCTCTTGGGTTGCAGCATTCTATACTACCTTGTGTTGTTTTTTTTTAAATAAATAGTTTTCAAGCACCTACCATTTGCCAGGTACTGTTATCAGAACAAAGGCTATAGCCTTGCAAAAACAGATTCCCTATTCTTCATCCCAAGAAAATTATGAAGTCTTTGACCACCCAGAAGAGTCTCCCTCCCCAGCCCCCCCGCAATTGCCCCCAGATAGATGCTTAGTGAGTATTTGATTATTTTCTGAATAAAGGAAAGGCAGGACTTAGAAGGTTGAGAGATGGATTGAAAGTATGCATGAAGGGTATGAAAGAATAACCAATTGGATGGCCTTGCAAACATCACTTCTGAATTTAAATATGGTTTAATCCAAAAAAAAAAAAGGAAGATGGCATTTAAGCCTGGGGACGAGGGGATAAAGTCCTTATTTGAGGAAGGTTCATTTGACAGCATTGTGCAAGGCTAGTTACTAACTTTGAGAATGAGGTTTGGAAAGGGAGCATAATCAAGAATGGTGAGTTTAGTTAGAGTGTAAGGTGAGTAGAAGATATCAAGGTGAATATAATCTATAATGACTAGAGATTAGAGGTGTGAGATAATTCATTCAATATAGAGGTGACAGCTAATGTTACAATTTTTTGTTACAGAGTTACTAATTGAAGTGTGGAGGCCTAAGAATGATGCTTTGGAAAACAAAAGCAGGAGCATCTGCTTTGGTCATATGTGACTTCATAATTAATACTGTGGACTTGTTCAAAACCTTAATTTCCACTGTATGAGTTCAGTTCAGTTCAGTCAGTAGGTTGTGTCCAACTCTTTGAGACCCCATGAATCGCAGCACGCCAGGCGTCCCTGTCCATCACCAACTCCCGGAGCCTCCTCAAACCCATGTCCATCGAGTTGGTGATGCCATCCAGGCATCTCATCCTCTGTCGTCCCCTTCTCCTCCTGCCCTCAATCCCTCCCAGCATCAGGGTCTTTTCCAATGAGTCAATTTTTCGCGTGAGGTGGCCCAAGTACTGGAGTTTCAGCTTCAGCATCAGTCCCTCCAGTGAACACCCAGGACTGATCTCCTTTAGGATGGACTGGTTGGATCTCCTTGCAGTCCAAGTGACTCTCAAGAGTCTTCTCTGACACCACATTTCAAAAGCATCGATTTTTCAGCGCTCAGCTTTCTTCACAGTCCCAACTGTCACATCCGTACATGACCACTGGAAAAAGCATAGCCTTGACCAGACGGACCTGTGTTGGCAAAGTAATGTCTCTGCTTTTTAATATGCTATCTCGGTTGGTTATAACTTTCCTTCCAAGGAGTAAGCATCTTTTAATTTCACGGCTGCAATCACCATCTGCAGTGATTTTGGAGCCCCCAAAAATAAAGTCTGACACTGTTTCCACTGTCTCCCCATCTGTTTCCCATGAGGTGATGGGACCAGATACCATAATCTTAGTTTTCTGAATATTGAGCTTTAAGCCAACTTTTTCACTCTCCTCTTTCACTTTCATCAAGAGACTTTTTAGTTCCTCTTCACTTTCTGCCATAAGGGTGGTGTCATCTGCATATCTGAGGTTATTGATATTTCTCCCAGCAATCTTGATTCCAGCTTGTGCTTCTTCCAGCCCAGCGTTTCTCATGATGTACTCTGCATATAAGTTAAATAAGCAGGGTGACAATATACAGCCTTGACGAACTCGTTTTCCTATTTGGAACCAGTCTGTTGTTCCATGTCCAGTTCTAGCTGTTGCTTCCTGACCTGCATATAGGTCACTTTGTGAGAGTGCTACCAAATATAAAGGATCCAAAAGAATGTTTATCACCATTCATTTCCAAAGGATTTTGATTCATATATTTCTTATTTGCCTTGCCCTTTTTTTAAAATTTAAATAAATTTTTGGTTTTAGAATAGTTTTACAATTACAGAAAGTAGCCAGACAATAGAGTATACCTCACCCAGTTTACCCTATTGTTAACTTCTTACACTACTATGGTACAGTTGTTACAACTAAGGAAACAAAGTTGCTACTTTACTATGAACTAAATTGCGTACTTAATTCAGATTTCATTTGTTTTTCCCAAGTGTCCTTCTTCTGTTTCAGAATTCTAGTTTCTCACATTTTTCTTATTTTTGATGATTGTGACAGTTTTTAGGAGTACCAGTCAGAAATGTTATAGAACATCTCTCAATTGAAAATTACCTGATGTTTTCCTCATGAGTAGACATGGGTAATGGGTTTTAGGGAGCAAGACAACAGAGGTGAAGTGCCATTCTCATCACAGCATATCAAGGGTACATATTGACAACAAAAAATTGACAATGTGAACAGGCTTTGATTGCTTGTTTGAGGTTTTTGTCAGGTTTCATTCCCCACCCATTTATACTCTGCTGTTTGGAGTCAAGTTGCCAAGCAAGGCTCACGCTCAAGGCCTTGACCTAATTTTGATTTGTGTATTTTTTATTTCCCTCAACCTAAT